ACTTTGAAGGAACACTGCTTACTGGCTTGCTTCCCATGCTCTGTGTTGCCTGCTTTCTTATATAAACCAGCACCACTTGCCCAGGATTGGTACCACACAGAGCATGCTCTGGGCCTATCATTTAATCAAGAAAATGGATTACAGACTTGCTTATGCCAAGCAGTTTGGTTGGTGGCATGTTTTTCAATTGACATTCCTACTTCCTAGAAAAATCTGCCTTGTTTCAAGTTGGCGTTGGCCCCAAACAAAAATTAGTCCCCATCCTCCCAAAGACAAACAAACAAAAAGCCCAGCTGACCAGGCCAGAGAGGGTGAGAGTTGAGAGTAATTTGTATGCATTATATTACTGTATAAAATTGTCAACAAATTAAATTAATAAAAGCAAAGTACATGACCAAACAAAATCTTGAACATTCAGCAATGGTAATTCCCCCTACATTCTAACTCAATTTAAGGATGGCTTTTGGGGAATGACATAATGGAATGGCAGCTCCAACAGGAACTATTACAGCTATGTCTTTGTTTTGCTGGACAGTTTACAGAGTCTTTGCTATTTGGCACCTTGCTATTGATCTTGTGACATTTTTCTTTCCCTTTGTAGTTTTTGATCAAGACCACCAGATGCAATTTTCTTTCTAACTGCATATGACAGCAATATGTCTCACCGTTCGATCTGGGGAATAGATCAACTCTTCCACATTGCCTCATAATTTAGTTGTTTTTCCTGATGGGGAACTATCCCAGTCTAGAACATTGATGATATAGAGCTGACCAGGCTTGCTGAAATAGGTTTAGTGACATGCTCTCACCACAAGACAGCAATGATTCCATTCAGAGTGCAAATATGATTGCACCTGGACACTTAGGCTCCTGCAACCTTCCTCTGACTGACAAGGAATAGCTACTCTATTTGATGGGATAATTGGTATTCATTGTTAAATAAAAATTGGGTTCCTTCTATATAATTGGGGAAAGAAATAGAGTGTTTGAAAAAAATCTTAGCGTGCTGTGTGCTCTCATTACATCAGTGAAGCATGGCACATCCTCAGCAGGGCTGCCAAGTATACAAACCATACAAAGGTGAGTGGCTGAATGGCCCATCCAGAAAATAACTTTGACCAGTTGAGGTGGTATTGGAATAAAAGAACTATGCAATGTATAGTAAAAGAGCTATAAATGTCAGCACTGACTTCATGACAAAAGTACAATGACGAGACGAGTGAGAGGTTTTATGAGCACTTCTTTTCTCTATTTAAATGTACCAATAATGATATAAAAATTGCATGGTAAGTCCTGAGTCTGGAGATCTATGTTGGCAAATTTAACCACACGTCATTTATGTCAACATTCACAAGCTTTCAGACTGTTATGCCACGTGTGTTCTCCAGCTTCTGGGCAACTTCTCCTTGTTATTCTTTGCATTTTTCTCTTTGACCCTTGCTGTGGTCTACTTCTCCTTATGAGCTGTAGGCTGTGGAAGGTGATTGCATTAAGTATGGAGGGTTGCGGGCCCACCACCTCTTTTCAGGGACCTTTCAGCTGTTCTTTAAGGGCCTTTCACATAATTGCACTATACATGTAGGACAATCCTCCCCTTGGTTGATTCATGCACAACTGATTTAGGACCTTCACAACATTTGAAAAATAAATTTCACTTTTGATGCATAAGTTGATCTGAATCCCTGGGGTGACTGCTCTTACAATTGTAGATCATGCTGTCATTCACAGAAAGTTGAGTAAATAAAATGGATGTGTGAGGAATCTTAGTGGGCATCTTAGAATTCTTGCTGCATTGAGCGCCTATTTAGCTTTCCTACATATGCAAGCAATTCTTCAAAAGGACTGCCAATGAGCTCTTCCTTAGCTTCACCACTGGGAATGACTGCATGTGTTTAAAGGCAGCTCCCAGCCTGTGATCCCAGAGCTCAGTACCAGGATGCTTGGCACCAGGTGTGCACACCTTCTGTTTATTCAAGCAGCCTTGGTAAGAGAAGAAGTTGTTAATATCCAAGAAAAATTCTTGCGTTGCACCACAAAGCGATTCTGTTAATAGAAAACACTCTGTTAAATGACTGTTGCCAATGACTGGTGAATGAAATCATTTAAAGGGGGGGGGTGTGGAAAACTAGGAGCAGAGAGCGAAATATTTCACTTAGAGTATGGAGGTGTTTTTTTTTTTTTTCTTGTGGAAAACAAATTGATTCTTACATGTGAATCTACTTAACTTGAAGAGGTCTGAAGTGAATTGTTACTTGCAAGCTCCACTGCCATTCACAGTGAAGGCAATGTCTTTAGACTTGGTGGTAGGCAGAAGATTATCATTTGAATAATTCGTATACATGTGTCTGGAATAGGTTAGGCATGCCTCCCTGAGAGGCTGTGTATTACAAAGGCTGTCATTAAGTTAACTTACATTTCTGCCCCAATTCCTGGCTTAGCTGCTTGACTCTGAGTTATGAATTGTGAATGGACTGTTGATGTTGGGGTCTAAAGCTTAACATCCATGTCTCCTAAAGTTGTCATTAAATAGTAATGACATAAAGCTCAGAAGCTCTGGCAATTTTCAGAGGGGTATTGGAGGTACAGTGTGCTGTTAGCTGAGAATAAGGGAAAAAATACAGAGAGCACAAAATCTTAGCCTTCCTTTCACTGCCTAGCAATGAAAGTTTGATCCTTTGGTAGTATTGTAATGGAAGTACACACTCTTCATAGGGGTTTTCACCTTGCTAGTTCTTAACCCTCTTGCTAAGAATCAAAATTCCCAAGCAACAAGTTCTCAGGCAGCTTTGCCTGCCTTCGGTCCAACAAATGGTGTTTTCTCTGTTTGGTTTGGTTTTTGTTTGGTTTTTAAGGTCTATCCAGTAAAATAATTTTAAAAGACAACCACAAAATTGTTTTCTATTGAATACTCCTTTGGGAGCTGCTGCCTTTAAATCAATTAAGAAGTTCTAGTGTTTCTATCTCTGTCTTCTTTCATGAACTCAGTGGCTGACTCTTGGATCACCAACCCTTGAACGGGGTAGGGTGGGGGATCAGCCTTACCAGGCCACAGAGAAAGACAATGCAGACAGTCCTGATGAGACCTGATAGGCTAGGATCAACAGGAAGGAGAGGGAGACCTTACCTATGAGTGGACTGGGGGAGGGACATGGGAGGAGAAGAGGGAGGGAGGGCAGGAATGGGAGAGATTGAGGGAGAGGGCTACAGCTGAGATACAAAGTGAAAAAATTGTAATAAATAAAATAATAAATTTTAAAAAAGAAGTTCTAGTTTTAAAGTTCAGTGAGATTGCAGATAATGGAAGAGGACTTTAAAAAAAAATCAAGACCAGCCTATCACTTGGGCTCTTTGCAGCTTGCACACACTGATAAAATAACTCTTCAGATCAGAGCTACCTACTCACAGGGCAAAACAAAAGGCTCAGTGGAAGCCTGACCCATACCAGGAAGTTCTTTTCAACAGATATTCTCCTAATATTTCCAATAAGATGGAGAGCCTTGCATAATCCCTTTTTTGGAAGAAATATTGCTGCCTTAAATTCCTACACATGATAGAAAACAGAAATTGCATGTTCCATGTTTTGTTTGCTATTTGTGTTCAGTAGCATGGCAAGTCCCTAGAAATCTCTCCCACGATAGCATTCTCAGTGTTGTGGGTTTTTATTGTTCCCATGTGCATAACTGTCTAACTTGCGATCCAGCACTATCAGCCATCAGCACAGTGGTCGGGTCTGAAGTCAGCCCTGGCCACTTCCTTCACAACCCAGAAATAGAAGTTGCAACACTGAAAAGGAAACATAAGCAACGGGCCACCAATGACTGTCTTGTGAAAGGTATTCCTGTCTATCCTGAAAGGGGATTAAAGATCATCTGCAGGTCTCACCTCCATGGACCCTTTCGCTTGTTTTAGTATCTTGCTTTGGGGAAGCACCCAATAATACATCATGTGACAAAGGAAAAAATACACGATGACTTGCCAATAAAGAAATAGAGGCCCAGGAAATTTAACTTCTTTAATGCTGAGCCACTGTGACACACACACACACACACACAAACACAAACACTGAAGCCAGGAATTCTGACTTTTTAAGCACCATTCTTTTCAATACTTCAGATATTATACTATATATATTTATTTTGCTTTTTAGAAATTGTGTCTAATAATACTGTTAGCTCGTTATGAATTTTTCTTTTTGGTTAATACTTCTTTTCCTAAAACAATTCTTAACACTTATTTCATGCTGAATGTGATCCTGAATAAAAAAGACATTTCTACAACCACTTCCCTCCCTGTTCTTTGGTGTATCTATCTTGCTTCTCTCTTAAAAGTACATAGCTACAAGAAGTCATATTGTGCAGTTAACCTTGCCAGAAAGGTTTTTTCAGAAAAGGTGTACAGACTTAACCAGAGCATGAGTTTGAAACAGATGAGCTGAGTTATGAAATTTCAGTAGGGATGAATTATGATTGTGCATGACTGGAGAGCCAATCCTGCAGCTTCTTTTCTCTGGCACTTGGCTTTCTTCAACTGCTAGTACATTTCACAGTGTGATGCACAGGTGGCTCCCGAGACACATCCTATTAGTCTCAACACTCCTCTCACTCCTAAAAATCACATCAGCAGCAGCCGGTCCTGAAGAGTCTGTTCATTGCCTCCCAACATCTTTCCAACCCCCTTTCTTTTTTTAATTTTTATTTTTTTCTTCACAATTTATTCATTATATATCCCGATTGTAGCCCCTCCCTCAACTATTCCTAGGCCCACACTCCTTCCTCTTCCCCTAATCCTCTTCACCTAGTCCACTGAAAGGGGGAGTTCTCCACTGTTGCCATCTGCCCATAGCTTGTTAAGTCTTATCAGGACTGCCCTGGATCCTCTTCCTCAGTGGCCTGGCAAGGCTGCATTATCGGTGGCAAGTGATCAAAGAGCAGGCAACCAACTTCATGCTAGAGGCAGCCCCTGCTCCTCTCACAAGAGATCTAAATGGAGACTAAGCTTACAATTGGCCACTTCTGAGCAGGGGGTCTAGGTCCTCTCCGTGCACGGTCCTCTGCTGGTCCATCAGTATCTGCAGGATACCCTGGGCTCAGATCTTTTAGTTTTGCTGGTCTTTTTGTAGAGCTCCTGTCCCCTCCAAGGTGGATCAGTGAAATCGAATAGAAGACCCAGAAATAAACCCACACACCTATGGACATCTGAGTTTTATAAACATACTGAAACCATACAATGGAAAAAAGATAACATGTTCAACAAAGGGTGCTGGTATAACTAGATTTCCACAGGTAAAAAAAAATGCAAATAGACCCATATCTATCACCCTGCACAAAATTAAAGTCCAAGTGGATTGAAGATCTCAACATAAAACCAGACACACTAAATCTGTTGGAAGAAAAAATGGGGAAGAGCCTCAAACTCATAGGCACAGGAGACAATTTCCTGAACAGAACACCAACAGCTCAGGCTCTAAGACCTACATTAGTAATTGGGACCTCATGAAATTGAAAAGCTTCTGTAAAGCAAAGGACACTGCCAACAGAACAAAGCAACAGCCTACAGACTAGGAAAAGATCTTCACCAACCCTACATCCGATAGAGGGCTAATTTCCAGAATATATAAGCACTCAAGAAATTAGACACTAACAAACAAAATAATCCAATTAAAAATGGGGTACAGTGCTAAGCAGAGAATTCTTAACAGAGGAATATAGAATGGCAGAGAAACACTTAAAGAAATGTGCAACATCCTTAGCCAACAGAGAAATGCAAATCAAAACAACTCTAAGATTCCATCTGACATCTATCAGAATGGCTAAGATCACAAACTCCAGTGACAACACATGTTGGAGAGAATGTGGAGAAAGGGGAACCCTACTCCATTGCTGGTAGGAGTGCAAACTTGTACAATCACTTTGGAAATCAATCTGGCACTTTCTCAGACAATTAGGAATAGCACTACACCCCACCTCTTTCTTAAATGCATGTTCTTAGTCACCTCTGCCTGGGAATTATTTGGAGTACCTGCTCCTGGTCTACTGGAACCTAGTATAACCCTTTATCTCAGACTCACAGAACTGGGAAGGGATCTGTGTTCACAGGAGCAGCTCATAGCCAGTAAGTCAGCCATCAAGAAGCTAACATTTAGCTACTAACTGTCTGGGAATTCTCAGAAACTCCCTGGTTGCCTCCTCCTTCAAGTTTATTTCTTGTCTTTGTTTCCCGAGATTATATTCTGAGAGACATCCCTATCAATAAGTCCTTTTTTTTAAGTGTTGTGAGGAGCTGATGGAAAAAAAGAAAAAACAAAACAAAACAAAACAAAACAAAAAAACCGAAACAAACAAACAAAAAGGTGCTATGTAATTTGCTGTACTAGTGTTAAATTTCAACTCCAACTCCTTCTTTGACTTCTCATTGATGCCATAACAATTTACAATAATTAACTGAGTTGCTTTAAAAAGCACAAAATGTATGTTCTTCCACTTCTGGAAGCCAGAGATCTAAATGCTCTTCTGAAGGCATGCTCTTCTAAATGCTCTACATGAAGTCTTCATGGAAGACTGCTCTAGTTGATGGACCTTCTCTCTTCTTTTGTTACAGAAATATTGAAAGCCATAGGTTGTGGAGGTCCTTTAAAGGACTACTAATCCCTTTTTTTTTTTTTTTAAAGAGAACAGAACCTTTAGCCAGTGTAGAGAACAACTACCCAAAAAGTAAATTAAGTTGGGTTGTTCAGTCACCTGCCTAATGTAGTACCATTTGGAAAGGCTGATTCACTTAGCCATGCTAAGAAGATCGGAGGAAAAATTATTCTCTTAATGAGATAAAGGACAATTTTTTTTTGCCAGAATACCATCTCTCTAGGCAGCCTTCTCTGAATCTATAGCCAAGAGGTTGGGTTGAGCCCGCACACATTTCTGATTTACGCAGGAAAAAGTGCACCTTCTCCTTTTCTTTTCTCCTTCCCTCTGTCAGGTATTTGCCTGCATCTTGGCATGCTTTCTTGATGCTCTAAGGTTTCTCATTCCCTTTCCATGAAATTATTTCTGTCCTGCCCAGCCTATAGGGCTGCTTAAAAATACTGTGGCTTTCTCTCTCCCTCTGCCCCATCACCTTCTTCCATGTTCTATTAAGATGCTACTCTCATTTGCCTATTTTTTTAAATTTTTTATTTTTATAAATTAAAGTGTATTCACTTTGTATCCCAGCTGTAGCACACCCCCTTGTACCCTCCCAATACCACCCTTCCTCCCTCATCTCTTTCCGTGCCCTTCCCCAAGTCCACTGTTAGGGGAGGTCCTCCTCCTCTTCCCTCTGACCCTAGCCTGTCAGGTGTCATGAGGACTGGCTGCATCGTCTTCCTCTGTGCCCTGGTAAGGCTGCTCCCCACTCAGATGGAGGTGATCAAAGAGCCAACCACTGAGTTCATGTCAGAGACAGTCTCTGTTCCCCTTATGAGGGAAGTCACTTGGAGACTGAGCTGCCATGGGTGACATCTGTGCATAAAACATGCAACAGGATAGGAGCCTACCACAGAGGGCCTCTGAAAAGACTCTACCCAATAGGGGATCAAAGTAGATGGTAAGACTCATAGCTAAACTTTGGGAAGAATGCAGGGGATCTTATGAAAGAAAGGGGAGATAGAAAGACCTGGAGCGAACAGGAGCTCTACAAGGAGCGCAACACAACTAAGAAATTTGGACACAGGGGTCTTTTCTGAGACTGATACTCCAACAAAGGACCACGCATGGAGATAGCCTAGAGCCCAATTATTTTTTTTAAACTAATAAACATGTCCTTGAATATGCTCCTATGTCACGTCTTAACTTCTCTTATTAAGAAGAGTAAGAATCCTGAGAGGGAACCTCAGTGTCCCTGGTAACGAATGTATCCCCACACATGGCTACTCAAAAATGCTCATAATACTTTCACTATTCCATCTTCCCTGCTCCTTCTTGGCTTTAAAGGATCTCTCATATTTCCTAGCGATCATACAGGTGACCCAGGCCACCAATTTTCTCATATAAAAGTTCTTAATTTAACCGTATGTTCAAGTTCTTTTTGCCATGGAAAATAATGCCTCCAAAGGTGCTGAGAATTCAAATGTAGACATAGGGTAAGAGAGTATTTTATTTACCAAACAGTGTCTCATTAAAATATTTGACCTATAAGGATTATGAGTGTGTTGTCCATATTAGTGTTTAAATGGAGTACTAATTTTTTTTGTCTAAAACATTGAAGTTACGTTGAATGTATACACTATAAACGAGGATCTGAATGAAGAATAATATGACATTGTTTTTTCCATTAAAAAATTTGGTTATCTTGCTTAACATACATTTTAGGATCATCAATTTTTGTGATTCTACTTACCTTGGGTGCTGAATGCTAAATAATAATCAATTTTTATATGTACCAGATTTTCATTATCCATTCATCTGTTGATGAACATCTAGGTTGGTTCCATTTCCTTGTCATGGTGAAAAGAGCAGCAACCAACATGGACTTGCAAATATTACTACATAGAGTACAGAGTTCTCTGGGTATATGGCCAAGAACCTCCAAAGTGACATCTATAATGGCTGTACTGATTTTCAGATTAGTGAATAAACTTCCTATTCTGTTTTCATCCTTGTCAACATTTGTCACATTCCTTGATGATAGCCATCCTGAGAGATTCTGAGGCAGCATCTCCAAGGAACTTTAATTTGCATATCCTGAAGACAAGGGATGTTGAACTCTTTTTAAAATAGTTCCTGGCCATTTGTATTTCTTATAATGAAAATTGTTTATTCAAATTACTAACCTTTGGTTGATTGGCAGATTTATTTTATAAATATTTAATTTCTGCCATTCTTGATAAATTCTGAACATAATTCCTTTGCCTAAAATATAGCTGATAAAGGATTACATTTTAATTTGTGCTTTCTTTGTGATTTAAATATTTTGAATATAGTTAGAATTCATTTGCTGGTGACTTGATTTGAAGGTATCACTCATTTTGTATTAAATAATGATTTATTATATAAAAATATGACATCAATTTCCAGTTTTCTAGAATTTCTTCATTTTTATTAGATTTATTCACTAGCAATAATTTTCAGGTTTTCATGATGGAGGTCCATTCAGACTTTGTTTTGTTGATCATTTCTCGTGTTCCCTTCATTCATTGTCCTGGTCTCTGTTCTTGTTGATCTCTATCACCACCAAATCCTCTCCCACTTCTGTGTCATGTATTCTAACACCATTTTTTCTCTCCCACACTCTTTTCTATAGTGGCTGTCCACAAGCACAGTCCCATCCAGAAGTGAACTGTATTCCCAGCATTGTTTTAAATGTAGTAACTGCGAATAGAATACTTGCTACGCCTCTAATTTCTTTTTCATCATTGGTGTATAGAAAAGTTACTTAATTTTGTATGTTGATTTTGTGTCTTGGTACTGAGAGAATCAAATCTATGTTTTCTGGTGGAGACTGTAAGGTCCTTTATGTACAGGACAGTGCCATTTGCAGACAAGGGTGATTTGTCTTCTTTCTGAGTTGTGGCTCTTCTATTTTCCTCTTCTGTTTTATTTCTCTAGCTAAGGCTTCAAGTGCTCTGGTGGATGAGAGCACAGAAAGTAGGCACTCTTGTCTCATTCCAGATTGTAAAGGAAACCCTTTCCTTACTTAGCATAATGTTGGCAACAAGTGTAGCATACGTACTCACCATAAAGCTAAAATTCTCCTATTTCTACTCTTTTACTTAGCCTTTTTAATTTAATTTTTGTAGATGCACGCATTTAGGCTTTCTTCATTTCTGGTAGATTTGCCACCTTTCAGAATGGAAAATTCCAAACTCTTGTTATATGGTTCTCTGAATTTCATCATCATTTCTTATAAAAACTTCCCTTTCATTTTTTAACTTTATTATTTTGGATCACCTCTGTCTTTGGATGGGAGTTTATTTTTCCAATGAGACAATTCTTTGTTGCACTATTGTTCTTTTAGGTACCATTTCATTGACTTCTATCTTTATAGTTCTTCTTTGTCTTTTTAAATTTTTATTTATGTATTTATGTATGT